GGGGACCAGGCTGGCACCAGATGGAGCAGGGTCTAGGGAAAGGTCAAGGTTAGCTCAGGCTGCTATTGAATCGGTTGCAGCCTCACAGATAGATCTCTGCCTCGGAGGCACCCACTGGGGCTTCTCAGAATCAAATCTAATAGAAAAGGCAGTCACAGAATGAAATCGCTTCATCTGAATGCTAAAATTGTTATTAGGCTACATTAGAGAGATACCAGGCACGTGATTACCAAAAAAGGAAGCATGCCTAGCAGTTTGTGACTGAAATAAAAGCCGTGAATGTGTTGATACCATCGGCAACGTGCGAGTATAATAGTTAACAGGAGAGAGGGGCAGGGAGAGACGTGTGTGTATAATGAACGGATTAACATATTTACGTGTATGTATATGTTTATATAGAATTATTTATGTGTGCGTATATGTCTGTGGGGGGGGTATATTTGTGTGTACGTATATATCAGCTCTTGACTTCTCGTGAGTCCTGTCGTGGCCGTAGTCCTCATCGCTGCGTGGACATCTGTTAATTTTGATTTGGATGGCAGTTACCGACCGAGAACTGGGAACTGACTTGAAGGAGAGGTTTGTTGTTTGCTCGTTGCAGGACTCTGCCTACAATAACTTGATGCGTGTAGCATGGCGTTGTGCCATGACTTTGATTTTTGATCTGTGATTTTAAGTCTTCCTTCGTGGACGCATAGAGCTAAGATATTTCTGAGGCCTTTCTTTTTCTTTGCAATTGTCTCAGGCAAAACTATTTCCCTGAGGAAACGTTATTAGGTGCGTACATGCATGCACACACACCACACGTGCCGGACGCTCGAGTGGGATGCGAGTGTACGCGTACATGTTTAGAAGGGCGCTGCTGTCAGCTGGCTTCCCAAGATCAAAGTGAGTTCTTGCCAATTAGCATCTCCTACGCAGTACCAGTTCTTTAACCTACAGCACAGCCGTATCTTAAAGGAGGATTTAGTCTTGTAAAATAAATGTAAATGCTGGCTACACTAGATTAAACATGACGACTGCACTCCAAGGGTTAATAAATTTAGAATTAACAGATCATCCCAGCTTGATACAGCTACTATAGATGATTTAATATGCAGCCTAAGCAGGTTGACAGTCAGCTCACAGATGCAGATAAGATCAAACAGTCTCTTGATTCAATAGATTGAATGGTTGTACTGAGTGTCTGGAAGGTGAGTGACAGTACGTATATGGCAGGGGTTCTGGTAAAGAAGGGCTTCGATTCCCAACTGCTGTGCAGTGCACTGGTTTTCTTTTTCTAGCAGTCAACCTTTTCCAGCAATCAAACCTGGAGTTAACATGAAAAAAACATGTCTCACATACAGTTCAGGACAGTTATTTGAAGTTTTCAGTAATGAAAAGCTCTGAGCTTTAATAGTAATCACCGTTACCATGACTAGTCCCTGCAGTTCAGATTCCTTCTCCATGAAGAAGGCCATCACCACCCACTCCGTCCCACAGGAAGCCTGGTCTGTCCAGAGTCTGTCCCTCTACACTAGCGTCCTTCCCTGTCAGACCTCAGTCCACCAAAAGAAGGAAATTCAGAGGCAGAACTGCAGTGGGACACCACTCCCAAGTCATCCTCAGGTGCTTAGTGAGGGCCACACTGCCCTAACCTCATCCCTGGTCCCGGGGCTTCAGCTGCATGAAGCCCTAACGGGTGCAGAGTGAGGGAGACAATTTCCCTGCTTGCTTTTCCAGTTGTCTTAGGGGGTTTTTTTTGCCTTAAAAGTTTGGCTTAAAATCTGGATTAACTCTTTTGTGGTTTATTTTTTCCTTCTTGCTCTCCAGTCCTATTTAAACAGGAACATGAAACAGTTCTCATGGAGACTGGTGAGCAATGAGCTTACAGCATGGTCTCTAACAACTTGTAGTATTTGATCAAGAGTAAAGGCTCCACCTGAATCATTAGATTTTGCCATATGAATACGTTTCCAGGCAATTTAAACCATGCATATTATGTATTCAATAGACCATCACAGGTCTGAACTGTAGCTTACCCTGTTATATGAGGCCACCACCGTACTGATAGGAATATTTGTATTAAACATACTGCACATCTAAACACTTATAAATTAGCTGTATTGTTTACTTTGGCTTTTTTTTTTAATGCCAAAATGCCCACTTCATGGTTTTGACTACTGCCCTGCAAAATGTTACTGTAACAAACAGCATGGTTTTGAATTTAACAGCTGCACAAAAAAAGGATCCACAAAAGATTGCTTTCTCTTTACATGATTTTTTAAATGGTCTCGTGTTGTGTTGCAAATTTTTAATGGTGATTATACTTAAATTTGAGCATGTTTTTAATTTGGAAACCAGTGGCTACTTTTAATCCCTCAGATGCTGCACGGGAAAGGAGAGGGCCCTGGCGCGTGTTTCAGGCTACGGGTCCTGTGCGCAAGCATCACCAGCTGCTTCTGCGTAGGTCTGTGATACAGAGAAGGGACGATACAGCCTTTGCTAACGTGCCTCTCTGAGCGCCTCCCAGGTGAGATGATGAAGGCTGGAAAACGTTGACTAGACCTGGAACTAGAGAGAGCCAGTATCAAGCTGCCAGTAGTTCTCCGGGTGAATAAGAGAAACAGGTTGCGAAAGAAATCAAAAAGCAGAAAAGGGGCGCGGG